GTATTCTTCCACAAACACTTCCAGGGATATGTGGCAAGAAAAAGTAAATTTGTATTGGAAGTACCACGCCCCTTTTTCTTATAACCCTAATCTTCTTCCATGAATTTAGAATTGATTTTACATACCCCAGTACCAAGTCCCAGTACTCTACCATGAACACCTCTAGAGATAAGCAGTATAAAACTGGAACTTGGTATGGAGTTGTGTATACAAAATGTATCAATTGCTCTTGGAAAAAATGTGAGTTATTAAAAAAGGAGGCATGTCGCCTCCCATACATACTAAAAACTTCTTAATACATATCTCTGGAAGGATAGAAAATCTCTCGAAGTAATTTAAATTTGATATGGAGATTTATTTTATAAGTGCCGTACTGACACAATAAATTTCATTAAATGGAAAAGGGAGAGCCGGGTTCGGCCTTATAATCTAAAGCTCTCTTGAGGCATTTGCTACAGTAATGAGAAGTGGTATTTTATCAAGGCCAGGTTACTAAATTTGAGTTGGAAATATTAGAACCCGCCGTGGCACCTCCAAGAAGGTTACACGTTCACGCGTCGTATACCTGGAACCATTTTAAGGTAAACTTAGAGGGATTGATATCTTTCGTATACCTAGCGCGCAGACGAGATTTTATAATTTCATAGTTTTAAATGGCCTAAATACCTTAACTCGCTTAAAAAATAACGAGCTATAACGAAAAGGGCACAGAAATAAAATATAACATCATTAAATTATTTTTCATATTTGTATAAAAGCGCGGGGTGAAACCCGCAGGTTATATATTATAAAGTAGCTGAATTTATTTTTTATCTTTTTTGCCGATAGGCTGGAATTTTTTTTTGCCGGTCGTGTGCATTTTGGAAGTGCTTCTTTGAAACGGAAATAAAAACTTCTTCGTCGGAGTTAAATTTTTGACGACAAGCACCTAAGAAAATAAAGTGAAAGATTAAACTCCATTCGAAATCGGAAAATTTAATTAAGTAAAAAGTGGTAATAAATAATATTATTATCCGTACTTCTTATTGCCGCAGTCGTTGCCAAACCAATAGCGCTGCTTTTGGTACCAGTTCCCTTCCACGAGAAAAGTTCTGCTACCTCATCTGTAATAATTTTCCGCCAGCACGTTCTTAAATATTTATCTACATTTAAAATATTTATAGCTTCGAGTTCAGAAACCTATAAGGTGTTTAAAGAATGCAATAAAAATTCTTTTATTATGATTAATTTATGTTTTTAGTTACCAATAATTGTTGTTTTTCACTTGAACTCCCAAGGTCTTTTTCATATTCCATAAATGCATGCTTTTCCTTAAATGGGCTTCTTGGTAGATCGCCCTTTGCGTTTGCACCAGTCTGCCAATAAGTCACATACTTAATAACTTTTTTAAATTGAATATTTAACAAACTACTTAAATACTTATAAAATATTGTGATTGAAGAAAAATTGTCAACAAAACTAAAATTTTTTCTTGTGCTGACAAATTACTACAAGCCTCTTTCTATTATATTTTTTTGTTTTATCGTTTACGAGCTTTTCTCTAACTTTTTGGCGATACGAGAATCCCTCGTAAAACATAATGTTCGTAAAATGTACGTTTTCTTGCTGGCTGGGTAGTACCGTTTTTGTCAATGTATTGTGTACTTGAGTGCCGTTTTTGTATATGTGTTGTGTACATGTTTATTTATAAACGTATGTGTTCCTTTTCTTTCGTACGTGTTTACTGATATACATATCTGTACTGTAGTGTTTTCGGACGGTACTAGCTCTTACTGCCAATATAGGAGTATTACATATATGCTTTTTTCATTATAAAAACTATAGTAGGCTCTGAATGAACACAAATTTCTTGTCATGAGTAGTCCTCATCAATACCTATCTGAAATCAATAAAAATATTTTCCACAAATGCTATATGGTAAGTGTATAGCGATTAAAAGTTCCCGTTCGGACGTTCCCAAAATGGAACTCTTATCGAGATGTAGGAATGGTTGATAGAATAATAAGCAGCCATAACCATTGCGTCAACTTAAACTTCCTAACGATGTTTAATAGCTGTAAAAACTGTTCGAAGCTGTTCGGACGTTCCGGTTCGGACGTTCCGATATTTTCTAACGGATAGAATTTTTATACCCGAGCGCACTTGTGCACAAGGGTATTATAACTTTGTTCACATAACGGTTGTTTGTAACAGGCAAAACGAATCGAGATAGATATAGACAAATGTATACATAAATGATCAGAATGAAAAGAGAAATCGATTAAGCGGTGACTGTCTGTCCGTCCGTCCGTCCGTCCGTCCGTCCGTCCGTCCGTCCGTCTGTGCACACGATAACTCGAGTAAAAATTGAGATATCTTAACGAAACTTGGTACGTGAACTTCTTTTGGGCGTAGGACGGATGGTATTGAAAATGGGCGAAATCGGACAATAACCACGCCTACCTCCCATATAACGGTAATTTTCAGAAATACGAAAACTGCGATATTTTAGTAACTACTGAAGATAATTCACTCAAAATTGATATTTGCAATGAGTTTTAGACGAAAAATAAGAATATTACAAAATTTTGGCAAATGGGCGTAGCCACGCCCACTTATGGTTACATGTGTATATCTTGGTAACCGCTACACCAATTTCTTCCAAACTTGGCACAGTTGTTGGTCCTGGTACAGCATACCAACTGGCCGAAAATTTCTAAAATCGGACAATAACCACGCCCACATCCCATATAACGGTAATTTCGAGAAATACAAAATCTTCGATAAATCAGTAAATATTGAAGCTAATTTATTCAAAATTGATGATTGCAACAATTCTTTACCAAGAAATACGTTTATGACAAAATTTTGGAAAATGGGCGTAGCACCGCCCACTTGTGATCACATATATGTATCTCGCTAACCGTTCTAGCAATTTGTACCAAGCTCGGTATGGTTATTGTGCTTGCCACATAAAAGCAAACCGTTGAAAATTGTTGAAATCGGACTAAAATTGAGGCCGCTTTTCATATAACGGTAAATTTCAGAAATGCTTGAAATTTCAATATTTCGAAATTTAAGGACGCTAATTTACTTAAAATGTATACACCCCGGCTTATCATGTAGCGGTAGCTTTCGGAAAGGTGGAAAACATATATTTAATACTTGCGCCGGGTATTTAATGTTCGGCTCCGCCCGAACTTAGACTTTCTTACTTGTTTGTTTAAGAATTTAAACACACTCGTTTTTTAATGCAAATATGGGGTCTCATTGTAAATAAATCTACATCTATGTATATGAAGGCCTTTATTAACGTTCGTTGAAGTCATTTCTTCGTACAAGTAGACGTACATATTGACGCCTCCAAACCATATTATGCTAAGTCTGACTAAGTCTAAGCTGGCATAGCATAGCACGGTTTGGAGGCGTCGATACATATGTACTATATCTATATACTGTTACTCACAAAATTGAGTATACGGTTTGTTTTTGTTAATATTCGCAATGTTTTACATGCTAAAGTTTTTTTTTTATTTTTGTTTTGGTTTGAGATATGGCTTACATTTCAGCAAACCCCATTTAAATCCAAATATGAAGCTGTGTACGAAAATTATGAAAAATCTGCAAAGCAAACTTTTTAACCAGAATTTGTAAAAAAAATCGGGTATGCAGTTTTAGTACAATAATGTGCAAATTTCAAATGTTTGAACAAATCTCAAAAATCATCGGGAATTTTTAGATATTTGAAATTTGCACATTAGTATACTAAAACTGAATGGGCTATAAAACTACATACATACCTGATTTTTTTAAGAAATTCTTGTTTGCAATTTTGCTGAAACTTTGCAGATTTTTAATAATTTTCGTAAACAGTTTCATACTTGGATTTAAATGGGGTTTGCTAAGCCATATTTTAATACCAGATTAAAAAAAAAAATTAGCAAATACTAACAAAAAAAAAACCGTATACTCAAGTTTGTGAGTAACAGTACCTATGTACCAGAGCTGTATAATGATTGAATCAATTGAGTGTGCATTCTGATTTTTTTCGTTTCAAAAATGTGATTGTTTGATTTAAAAAATTTAACAACCACTCTTGAGATTGGTTACAAATTGTAAACTCAAAATATGTAGTGTGTCATGGAATGGTTGACACCCATTCACATATAGAATGTGAATGCAAAAAAAAACTCAATCATGTATGATTGTACGTTTTGGGAATGCATTCTGTCATTATCATTCAGTACTAATACTATTTGTTGTATCAGGGTTCCCAATAAACATGGAGCTTGGTTAACAATATGAAAATGATTGGAAAACGAATCAGTATTTCGAGTCTCACCTTCGATAACGAATGAGGATTACGTTAGAATTCGATTCGAGAACCAGGCCATTCTCCAGCAAAACGGAACCTTCGTTATCCAATGTATTTGTCCTTCGTTATGAACTCGAAATCCAGCCCATTATCGAATTGAAATTTTTATGAGAGAGAGTGATTGTCTTATAATTCCCTTCGAGAATTAGCTGATGAAACCCTCTCTCGTTACTATGGTTTCCATTCTTTTTCGAACCCATCTAGAGTATTTTTCCAATATACTATGAACATTGGAAAACTAAGGTTGGTTATGAGTTCGTTCTCAGTTCGGTATGCATATTGGATATCGAAGGTTATTTTCGAACGTTCGCCAAAATGTTTATAGGGTTGAGATTTTTGTACTCAAAATGTGAAACCAGAAGATTGCCATCTCCCTTAAAATAAGTAAACAAATAAATATTTGGTGCTAAAATATTTTTCTCAGTGTTTGGCCGAGCTTCTCCTCAAACTTGAGGCATGATTTTATAAGAAGAGTTTTCAAGGCAGAAATATACTCGAAGGTTTGCCATTGCGTGCCGAAGGACGACTGCTATTTTGGGTTATGATCTGACCAGGTATTTAACCATGGTCCTATGGAGTGGAAGTACGCACATGTAATCACCCTGCTACGGCGGCCGCCGTAAGCGTTCGGATTTGCCCCATTTTAGCCCTTCGCTTGCTCGTTAGTTTGCTCTGAGCTTGCGCAACTCACGAGCAACAGGCGAGACTGTTTGCAAACGAGCACTCGTTTAGTACGAGCGCACGCGGTGAGCAGCCAGCGAGCGAGTAAGCAAACGAGGCAGCGCAAGAGTAGAGCGGCACGCAAACGAGCACCTCATTAGCTCTGCCCTCGCCAGGGCGTCGTTGCGAGCGAAGCACTCATTTGCAGCAGCAGACGAGCGAGGCAAATGAGGCAAGCAGATTAGACAGGCAAACGGGTTGTTTGGTCAGCAAAAATGTATGGGATAAAAATTGCATCAACTAAGAATTTCGAGTAAAGGATTGTATGCACGCATGCAGATATGTATATACATACATACATGTATACACATATGTATATATTTATTTATATATATATTCTCATGCACAGAAGAACAGATGCGTGAAATAGCACGCAGTTTTATCTACTAGGTAGGCACATACATATGTGCATACATATCTATGTATGTAGGTATAATTTTTTTCTTATAAAATTTCAACTTACACACTAACGTCTCTTTTTATGCGGTTATTTGTTATGCGGATTTGAATTTATGCGGTTTTTCAAACCCTTTCTTCTGATAAATAATTTGTCTTTGTATTCTTACATTCAAGTAATTACTAAGTAATTCGGGTAAGTAACTATGTTTCATATGTATAAATGAGAATATAATATTTATAAAAATCATTATTTTGTCTTTCATTTCATAAATGAGTAGGACATTAGCATTTTCAAATGAATATTCCTAGTTTAGTCCCCATACATATATACGTATGTATGTAGTATAATACAAACTACTATTTGGGGTGTTAAACAGTATTTAATAATTAAGGCTGGTCCACAAAGAACTTTCGCGTTGACTTTGTAGTTGGCGTTGGTTTGACAGAACGCACGTTAAAAGTATGCGTTCTGCAATGAAGCTTGGCAGAGACTACTTTGGCCACTAAATTAACATATTAACGAGAGATAAATTAATATTTCATATCAATAATTGTTTACGCAAATTTCCCATGTCACCATATTCATACATATGTACATATATATATACATATGTCCTTCAACAACAGGCCACAAATAAATTTTTTCACCAAGCATTATATTTCATTCATCAGGTATACAGCATAACTGCTATAAGTAGCAAACTATTTTGGGGGTGTTACAAGTGCTTACTTGCTTTTTGTTTCTGCGGCACAAACGATTATAATATCTTCGTTACTTACTTTTCTCTGTAAAGACAAAATACATGCATATGTACATACATACATATATAACTATGCATAGTTATATATGTATGTATGTACGTATGTACATATACATACATA